TTCTGATATTAACAGAAATTGATTTGGGAATTTGATTTAAATATAAGTTCCCTACAACTATTTCCAGATTTTTTCATATCACAAGTAATTCGTACTTATATACTGGTACTTAAAGTCTTTACTTAAATATTAAATATGTCAGAAGTGTTAGTTAGTAATGTAAATCTATTCTATAATATTTAGATTTACAAATAAAAATTGATTTAAAAATTTGAATTAAGTATAAGTTTTAAGTTTAAATATACAGGGGTATATATTTACTAGGAACCCCCTGGCTCAGGAGTATATATTTACTAGAATCTATCGGGTACAGGGGTATATATTTACTAGAATCTACCTGGTAATGGAGTATACATTAACTAGTATTCCCCTGGTACAGTCACTTTTCCTTTACTAAATGTATTAGATTCAAATTGATTTGGAAATTGGTCTTAAGTTTGACTTCTACTTAATAAAGTTCCTTCCATTTTCTGTTGTATACATCGTAAGAAGTGTAGATAATGATTGTTGTGTGTCAACTTCCCTTATTCTCTCCTGAATCTAAAGCTTTTCAATAACTGAGACAAAATTTAAAAAGTCACTGTAAAGCCAATTCCCAAATCAATTTAAATTTGTAAAGAATCTAAAAATGCATTTATTGTTACTACATATGTAATAAATAAATTTTGATACAAGTTTAGCATAATTTTATATTAACCCTCTTTCAATGAATTTTTAACTTATATTTAAATTAAATTCCCAAATCAATTTTGATTTATAAATCTAATAATTTTTTTGATTTTTTTTAAATTGTTGTGATGAGTGGGGATTATGATAATGGTTAACTAAGCCTGATAAATTGATACATTAAGACATATTTCTAAAAAAAATTCTGCTATTAGCCAAATCTTTAAGATTTGTTACCAGTGACACCATGAAGAGGTTGCAGAACATAGCTCACCAAAATTTAGGTTGTTTTCTTTTTGTTGGACATGCCAAAAGTCCAAATAAAATCCAAAAAAATTAAAACTGCCAAAAAAATGAATTTAAGACAAGAAAAAGGAAAGGGAAAATNAGTTATAAAGTCATAATGTCTAAGGCCAAAGGTAAGGCTTAGATAATTATTTATTAGCTTTTTTTTCCAAATTCGCTTGCAAGTCAACCTTACAAGGTCAGCAGCCTGATTTTCATTGGCTCTTCTAGATTTAAAATAATTCCACACTGTGTTAAACTCTGGATCAACTTTTGCCCGGTCTACAAGGCCTTTCTTTGTAATAAAACTATTTTTTTCAATCATTTGGATTACTTGACTTATCATTTCAGGATTAACATTTACCAATCCAGTTTTTCGAGTTCCTCCCAAAAACTTTTTCACTGCATCTGTAGCCAAGGCCTTACTTTTGTTTGTTTCAATAAACTTTAACCAATAGCTATTGAACTCTTCATTTTCTTTTGCTTTCTTCTCAATGGACTCTTTTGTTTGTTTGCCAGGCAAGTCTTTAAACGCATTTCTGAGCACTTCCTTGAACTCTTCTGAAATGTAAGATGGTTTTTTTAGACTATTCAGTTTTTCATGTTGATAACCTAATTCCTTACTTTTATCATTAGTGTCCTGTTCCTGGGCAGGTTTGGGACCACCTCCTTTTTCATTATCTAACTTCTCATCTTTATCATGAAGGTCCTGTTCCTGGACAGATTCAAGACCACCACCTTCTTTATTACCTAACATCTCACCTTCATCAGGTTTAGGATCATCCCCAGAAACTTCTTTAGGTTTTTGGGTTTTTAATTTATCTTTGTCTTTTCCTCCAATATCATTCTCTACATCTTTAATTTTCATTCAATATCATTCTCTACATCTTTAATTTACAATTTCATTTCTTTTGCTGTTTATCCCTTCCGTTAAATTAAAATGTTGATCCCAATTATCCTCATCTTCTGATGAAGGTGTACTTTTATACACAAAATCAAGATCATCCTCATTTCTTTCAACTATCTCTGTAATCTCAATAATCTTATCACTTTCAACCCTTGGAGTAATTGCTAACCTATCTTGTTCAGAATTTGTGTCATTAGACATTCTTTCCTCTGTGACTCCTGTAACTTCTTTATCCTTTCCCATATCCATATTGTCTTTATCCATAACATCTGAATCTGTTACAACTTCTTCTTTATCTTTTACTATTTCAGTATTGTCTCTTTCCAAGTCATCTGAATCTGTTTCAGTAACTTCTTTATCTTTTACTATTTCAGTATTGTCTCGTTCCATGTCATCTGAATCTGTTTCAGTAACTTCTTTATCTTTTTCCATTTCAGTATTGTCTCTTTCCTTGTCATCTGAATCTCTTTCTGCAATTTCTTTATCCTTTTCCATAGCAGTATTGTCTCTTTCTGCATATTCTATATCCTTTCTCATATCAGTATTTTCTCTGTCCTTGTCATCTGAATCCCTTTCTGCAATTTCTATATCCTTTTCCAAAGCATTATTGTCTCTGTCCTTGTCATCTGAATCTCTTTCTGCAATTTCTATATCCTTTCTTATATGAGTATTATCTCTGTCCTTGTTATTTGAATCTTTTACTGCATATTCTTTATCCTTTTCAAACTCAGTAATGTCTCTGTCCAAGTCATTAAAATCTTCTTCAGAAACTTCTTTATCCTTTTCCATATCAGTGTTTTCTCTGTCATCTGAATCATTTTCTTCAAAATTTGTATCTTTGAAAGTTTCAGAACAATATCTGTCCCATATTTCTGGAGTAATAAGAAAATTAAAAGTATTTAAAATATTTCTTGTAGAGGAAACATTTAAGGAATCAGGTGAAATTGGAGGAACAATTTCAGTGATAACATCACGCTTTACCTCTGGGTTAACATTAGAATTGCTCTTCATATCCTGTTTATTCCTTTTCAAAAAACGCTTTTCCCTTTCTGTCAAATCCTTTTTCATTTGAATAGAAGTCCCCTTGAATGTAGCATTCTCGCCATTTCTCATAAAGGTATCGCACAAACCCCCTTCACTAACTACCACCTTANCTTAATAAGTACTGATATACTGGTACTTATAGTCTGGTACAGGGGTATATATTTATTAATTAATAATTAATTAATTATTTAAAAAAAGTTATATTTAATATTGACACAAGGAGGCATATTGCCAACTATAAGATTCTGTTGATTGGAAATTAATAAGAATATTCTGTAAAAATGTAAGTGTTATCTAATCTTCAATATGTATATGTATATGTATATTAGTATGAATTACTTGTGATATGAAAAAATCTGGAAATAGTTGTAGAAAACTTATAATTAAATCAAATTCCCAAATCAATTTCTGTTAATATCATAATTATAAATTGAAATTGATTTGGGAAGTTTTTAATCTAAGTTCCCAACAAATATATGACACATTTGATATTTAAGAAAAGAAAAAATTATATTTAACATTGTGACTAGGAGGTCAAGGTTAATTATAACTTTTTTTAATAATTAATTAATTATTAATTAATAAATATATACCCCTGTACCAGACTATAAGTACCAGTATATCAGGACTTATTAAGTGTGATTTAAATCAAATTCCCAAATCAATTTCTGTAAATATCAGACTTTGAACTGCAAGATGCTGTTTTTATAACACATTGAATATGTACCGATATAAAATTTAATCACACATAATAAGTATTGATATACTGGTACTTATAGTCTGGTACAGAGGTAAAAGAAATTAGTTGAATATCTTTGAAAATAAAAACTTGAGCAAGGTTTGAAGCAAACTTGCGGGTTTTACAGAATTAATTATTCCTTTTTTTTTCTCCTAATTCAAGAGTTCTAACAACTAACATAAATTTTTTTTAATTATTTATATATTGTGTGTAGGAAATCTAGGAAAAAGAAATTAGTTAATTATCTTTGAAAATAAAATCGTGAGGAAGGTTTGAAGCAAACCTGTCTCAGTTATTTGATCGTAAATATTTTTATGTTTTCTGATTTTCAATGACAAGACCTTTTATAAACACTAATTGATATTTTCCTACCTTTATTGAACCAGAAACTATGTCAATTTAAACATGTGTTGTTTTAATTCATTTTCTCAAAAAAACATCGTTGTGATCTCAATCTTGAGATTGAAATATCACCAAACTTTAAACATCTGTCAAACCTGTCTCACTTATTTAATCGTAAATATTTTTATTTTTTCTGATTCACAATCACAAGACCTTTTATAAACCATTAATTGATATTATCCTACCTTTAATGTACTGGAAACTATGTCAATTTAAAAATGTGTTGTTTTAACCGATTTTCGATAATATCCATATATTTAAATCAAATTCCCAAATCAATTTCAATTCAATCTTTATATATTAACATGCTTTTAAGTGACTTTTAAGCCGTACAACATTACTATCTAACACTTTTGACACATTTGATATTTAAGTAAAGAGTTTATCAGTACTGATTCTTAGTCTTTAAGTATAGAGGAGGGGGGGAATTTTTTCAAGAAATAAAAACCCATACTTTATAATTTATTACATAGAAAGTTTCAAAATGTATATTTTATTTTTTTTCAGAGAGAACAAAATAATTTGCCATGGATAATATGCTACTGGTATAACCCTCTTTCAATGAATTTTTCAAAAATTAATGAAGCAATATGCCTCCTAGTCTCAATATTAAATGTAATTTTTTAAGCATAAAAAATTTAGCCTATAAAATTAGATTTGATAGGGGACTGGTAGCTCCAGTTATTAGCTAAAAAACGCAGTTACTTAATAATTAATTAATTATTAGGTATATTCTAGTAAATATATACCCCTGTACCAGGGGAATTATAGTAAATATATACTCCATTACCAGGTAGATTCTAGAAAATATATACTCCTGTACCCGAGGGATTCTAGTAAATACATACTCCAGTGCCAGGGGGATCCTAGTAAATATATACTCCTGTATATTTAAATCTAATTTCCAAATCAATTTCTGTTAATATCAGAATTATAAATTGAAATTGATTTGGGAATTTTTAAATCTAAGTTCCCAACAACTATAAGACATATTTGACACATTTGATATTTAAGTAAAGTGTTTAAATAGCAGTATATCAGTTCTCATTATGTGTGTTATGAAACAATCATAAAATAGTTGTTGGAAACTTATATTTAAATCAAATTCACAAATCGATTTCAATTCGATTTTTATATGTTATTGTATATTTCATTATTTAAGAGATTGTTGAAAAATATTTTTGTCTTAAATTCAATACAAATAGTGAAATTTTCAATAAATTATACTGTTCTGGATATTCTATCAGACCATGAAAGTGTGTACTTTAATAGAGAAAGATCCGTAAGGAAACTATCTTGTTTGATTGAAGAATATAAAAGATTGAATTGAAATTAATTTGTGAATTTGATTTAAACTATTTTAAGATTGTTTCATAACACACATAATAAGAACTTATATACTGGTATTTAAACACTTTACTTAAATATCAAATGTGTCAAATGTGTCTTATAGTTGTTGGGAACTTAGATTTAAATATAAGTTCCCTACAACCATTTCCAGATTTTTTCATATCACAAGTAATTCGTACTAATTTACTGGTACTTATAGGCTTTACTTAAATATTAATTATGTCAGAAGTGTTAGTTAGTAATGTAATTATATTCTATAATATTGAGATTTACAAATTAAAATATATTTATACATTTATTGAAAATTTCACTATTTGTATTGAATTTAAGACAAAATTGTTTTTCAACAATCTCTTAATTAATAAAATATACAATAATATATAAAGATTGAATTGAAATCGATTTGTGAATTTGATTTAAATATAAGTTTCCAACAACTATTTTATGATTGTTTTATAACACACATAATAAGAACTTATTTACTGGTATTTAAACACTTTACTTAAATATCTAATGTGTCAAGTGTGTCTTATAGTTGTTGGAAACTTAGATTTAAAAATTCCCAAATCAATTTCAATTTATGATTCTGATATTAACAGAAATTGATTTGGGAATTTGATTTAAATATAAAAAATTAAATTATTTACGATCAAATAACTGAGACAGGTTTGACAGGTGTTTTAAGTTCGGGGATATACTGTTGATTGGAAATTAATAAGAATATTCTGTGAAGCTGTAAGTGTTATCTAATCTTCAATATGTAAATGTTTTCTTTTCCAATCAATCAATGAACCTATCAATAAATTTTATATCATATGGTTTGGGATTAGTTGTATCAAAATTTGACCTGTTTATCAGTAACCAAAATTTCAACAGTAACACTTTGTTCCTTCGTAAGAGAACAGCTGAGATGGGTTTCCTAAATCATAACATTTTATATCCATTATACATTAAGTAACTGGGTTTTTTAGCTGATAACTGGAGCTACCAGTCCCCTATCAAATGTAATTTTATAAGCAAAATTATTTATGCTTAAAAAATTATATTTAACATTGACACAAGGAGGCATATTGCTTCATTAATTTTTAAACATTCATTGAAAGAGCGTAAATTTAAAATTATGCTAAACTTGTATCAAAATTTATTTATCACATATGCATTAACAATAAATTCATTTTTAATTCATATATGATAAGTAAGCTGGGTATCATACTTGCTCAAAAGTACTCAGTGTTGCTGGCATGTTATTAGCTAATCAAGTAATAATTAAAGTTACTCACAACCCATCAATCAATCAATCAAACAAGATAGTTTCCATAAGGACAACCTACTATTATAATTTATTTCCTATTAATATCTATAATGGAAAATTCAAGGTTTAAATTTAAGTAGAAATCAATTTTAGGACATATTCCTGAAAAGGGTTCAAGTTTTAAAAGTCACTTCCAAGATATAGATGACTATGCAACTAATTTCCTTAAATTTCTGTTGCAGACATCATAAGTATAGTTCGTACAAATGGCACTGTGTTTACAAAGTCATGTTCATCTATTCCTTTAATATCAGAATTACAAATTGAAATACATTGCTTGATTGATCATTTATTGGCTGCTTAGTTGATTAATTGCTTGATGAATAATTGATTGAATGATTGTTTGTTTTATTGAAGGATAGATTTAAAAACTTACTAAAAACTTATTTGAATGCTTTTGTGAATATTTGTTTGACTGTTTTATTGTTTACTTTAATTGTCATCTTAAATCAAATTCACAAATCGATTTCAATTCAATCTTTATATATTATTGTATATTGCATATTGCATATTGCCAATTTTATAATTGTTTCATAACACAAATAATAAGAACTTATATACTGGTATTTAAACACTTTACTTAATCATCAAATGTGTCAAATGTGTCTTATATTTGTTGGGAACTTAGATTTAAAAATTCCCAAATCAATTTCAATTTAAGATTCTGATATTAACAGAAATTTATTTGGGAGAAAGAATAATAATAAAATGACTAATTTTACATATAAGGCTTAGTACTATTTAAAATTTTGGTCCTTTTTGGGAAAATGATTTAAGACACACTCCACAACACTTTATGATCTTGATTTTTTTATTTTGGTAGTACAAAGTGGTGATAATGTTAATTAAGGAGTTTCCAATCATCTGCTTTGACTTTGTGTGTGGGAAAAAAATATTAATAAAATCATGAATTTTACATATAAGGCTTAGTACTATTTAAAATTTTGGTCCTTTTTGGGAAAATGATTTAAAACACACTCCACAACACTTTAGGATCTTGATTTTTTTACTGTGGCATTAGAAAGTGGTAATAATGATAATTAAGGAGTTTCCAATCATCAGCTTTGACTTTGGGTGTGGAAAAAAAAAATAATAAAATCATGAATTTTATATATAAGGCTTAGTACTATTTAAAATTTTGGTCCTTTTTGGGAAAATGATTTAAAACACACTCCACAACACTTTAGGATCTTGATTTTTTTATTGTGGCATCACAAAGTGGTGATAGTGATAATTGTGGTGTTTCCAATCATCTGCTTTGACTTTGGGTATGAAAAAATAATTATAAAATCATTAATTTTACATATAAGGCTTAGTACTATTTAAAATTTTGATCCTTTTTGGGAAAATGATTCAAGACACCCACCACAACACTTTACGATCTTGATTTTTTTATTGTGGCATTACAAAGTGGTGATAATGTTAATTAAGGAGTTTCCAATCATCAGCTTTGACTTTGGGTGTGGAAAAAAAATAATAAAACCATGAATTTTACATATAAGGCTTTGTACTTTTTAAATTTTTGGTCCTTTTTGGGAAAATGATTTAAAACACACTCCACAACACTTTAGGATCTTGATTTTTATATTGTGACATTACAAAGTGGTGATAATGATAATTGTGGAGTTTTCAATTAAAAGGTTAGACTTGGGTGTAAATAAAAATAAGAAATCATTGGTCTACTACTCTAAAAAAATTTGGTCCTTTTTGGGAAAATGGTTTTCAAGACACTTCCCATCACTTTTATTATCTGATTTTTGGTTTTTGACCAGCATGTTTGGTAGTTTTAATAATTGTGGAGTATTAATGCAATATCACAATAAATAAGGTGGTGGTCAATAAATGTTCCAAATTACCGGTTTTGACCGAACCCTGTAGAAATGGAATCTAAAATAATGAAAAGAACATTTGTTATCTGATTTCAAATTTTTTTTCTGCATATGTTAGGTATTAAATAGTTTGACCTCCTCCAAAAGAAATTAGTGCAAAATCCTAAAAATCGAGAGTGTAATCAGCAAATGTTCCAAATTACCGGTTTTGACCGAACCCTGTAGAAATGGAATATAAAATAATGAACTAAACATTTTTTGTCTGATTTCAAATTTTCTTTTTGAATTTGTTAGGTATTAAATAAATTGACCTTCTCCAAAAGAAATTATTGCAAAATCTTAAAAAATGATGGCGTAATTAGCAAATGTTCTAAATTACCGGTTTAGACCAAAATACTGTCATAATAGAATATGCACTAATGAATTGAATATTTTTCGTACGATTTCCAAAATTTTTTTTGCATTAGCTAGGTATCAAATAGGTTGACCTCTCGAAAAGAAATTAGTGCAAAATCTTAAAAAATGAGTGTGTAATTAGCAAATGTTCCAAATTACCGGTTTTGACCGAAATTAATATACCTAGAGCTGAAAATTCTTAAATTTATCTTTTTTAGATAACCCAGCCTACTTACTTACGAATTTTATTTTAGATTCTGATCATGCAGCCTAGTACTGTTGAGAAGGAGTCTAATGGAAGGAGTGCCAGGAGTGGAAGGAGTGGAAGGAGTGGAGAGGAGGTGGTGATGGGAAGGAAGAAGGTGGTGGTGGAGTTGAAGAAGGTGGCAGCAGAGAGATATGGATGGACTGCTGTGAAGGGGACAGAGACTGCTGTTGAGTGCAGTGGAAGGAGTGTAAGTGGTCTGGAGAAGGTGGTGGAGCGGAGGCAGAAGGTGAAGGTGGCAGCAGAGAAGGAGAAGGCTGAGAAGGAGAAGAAGGACAGGATGTGGAAGGAGCTCCTTGAGCAGAAGAGGAGAGAGAGGAGAGAGAGGAAGGTGGGGAAGCAGATGGAGAAGCAGATGGAGAAGCAGCTGGAGGAAGAGGTCAAGGAGTGTGAGAAGCAGAGTGAGCAGTGCAGGAAGGTGTGGAAGATGAGTGTGGCAGCAGAAGAGGATGGACTTCTGTGAAGGGTAGGCGTGTGAGAAGGAGTGAGGAGAGCTCAGTTCTGAGTGAGGAGGAGTTCCCTTCCTTTGAGAAGGAGAAGGAGATGAAGGAGAAGGTGAGGAAGGAGTGCTTTGAGAAGAAGATGAGAGAGAGGTTGGCTAGGGAGGAGAAGAAGAGAGAGAAGAAGATGGAGAAGAAGCTGGAGGAAGAGAAGAAAGAGTTGGAGAGGCAGAGAGTGCAGAAGAAGCAGGAGAAGGTGCAGCTGAAGAGAGAGAAGGAGTAGAGGGGCAGTGAGAGAAGGATGGCTGCTGGCTTCAAGCGAGCAAGGAAGCAGAGCAGTGAGGAGAGAGTGGTTGAGAAGATTGTGTCAGATAATCTTCTCTTGGAGCCAGAGCAGAAGAGGAGAAGGAGCGGAAGGAGTGGAAGGAGTTCTGAAGGAGGAGAGAGGGTGCAGGGAAGGAAGCCGGAGAAGGTGGAGAGTGCTGCAGAGAACTTGGAGAGGGTGGAGATTGAAGCAGAGAAGTGTAAGTCTGCAAACAAGGTAAGAAGTATGCTCAGTCAGAAGGACAAGGTAACTGTTCAGGTGCCTGTTGTAGCTGCTGTTCCTGCTGTACCTGTTGCAAAGGCAAGTAGTGGACTTTCTGGTAGGTTTAGAACGAGGAAGGGAACCTTCACTTCTGAGGTCAAGGATCTCAGTTTTGTTTGGCCTGGACTTGGAAGTAAGGTAAGAATTGAATTGGAAGGTGGAAGTGTGGCTGATGAGATGGATGAGAGTGTGACTGTTTGTAGGAGTATTGTGGATGAGATGATTGAGGGTATTGGTTTGGATTGTCCATTGCTCAATGTTTCTGTTCAGTGTCAGGTGAATGAGGTTGTTGAATGTGATTTGGATCGTTGGGTTTCTGTGTTGGATCTGGATGATAGTAGTGATGAAGGTAGTGATGTAGTTGGTAGTCCTGATCCTGTCCTGGAGGAGGAAGCTAGTGAGAGTGAAGGTGCTGGTCCTGATTCTGTCCTGGAGGAGGAAGCTAGTGAGAGTGAAGGTGCTGGTCCTGATCCTGTCCTGGAGGAGGAAGCTAGTGAGAGTGAAGGTGCTGGTCCTGTCCTGGAAGAGTCCTGTCCTGGAGGAGGAAGCTAGTGAGAGTGAAGGTGCTGGTCCTGTCCTGGAAGAGGAAACTGAGAATGTTAGGATTTGTAGGAGCATGGTTGATGAGATTGTGGAAATTGCTGTTGGTGTTTCTGTTTTTCGGATTTCGGATTTTCTCAATGTGAATGCACAGGTTGCCAGGTGTTTTGAGGGTGTTGAATACTTTTACCAACCATCTGATTCTGAAGAAGAACAGGGTTGGGATGAGTATGTTGGTGTTGATGAAGTTGGTGTTGGTGTTGGTGTTGATGTTGGTGTTGATGAAGTTGGTGTTGGTGTTGGTGTTGGTGTTGATGAAGTTGGTGTTGATGAAGTTGTCAGCCATTGAGAACTCACTCTGGGCTCTCTTAACACCGGACAGTGTTCTCACAACGAAAGCACTTGTTAAGAGAGCAGCTGAGGATGAGCAGTTCAAAGTGGTCTGGGACCATTTTAGGTCCAGGAGAAAGACCGCATCTGATGCGGCAAAGTGGCTGAGAAGAACCTTTCTCAGAAAACCGTAAGTATGTTTTAATTTTTTAATTTTTAAGTATAAAGTTTTACATTTTTGGCTTTTTTTAAACACTTTTGGCAATTTTGGAATTTTGGCATTTCCAAACAAAAAGAAAACAAACAAAATTTTGGAGAGCTATATTCTGCAACCTCCCCGATGGTGCTCTCTGGTAACAAGTCTTTTAGACTTGGCTGAAAGCAGAATGATAAAATTTTAAAGGATTGAGACAGATTTAAATTTGAAATCTCTTGGGGTTCTAGTGTGACAGAGGATCTGAACCAACATTTAATACAAGCTAGCCAAGGGAATGGAGAGGGTGCCCTGAAAGTTTCAGCCCTGTCCCTTGAGAACTCAAGGTGGGGCAATGAAAATAGTGAAGGGCAATTGATGCCAGTCCCAGGGTGCACTATTATGGCTGACTAGTGAGTCAGGCCCTGGGTCTTCTCATGCACTTGAACCCAACTCACCGAGCCTGCACACTGGGACTGGCGAGTCATTCACTTGTACCAACTAATCACATGGAAATTTCTTCAAGTCCAAAAGTCTCTGGGTGCAAAAAAATAATTTTTTTTTTTTTTTTTCTTTCTTTACATTTACATTTATATTTATATTGACATTTTTTAACATACATTTTTAATACAATACACATTTAATTTGGAATTTAATTGCCTTAAAATCCTTTAAGAGGATAAAAATAAATTGCAAGAAATGCCTGAACTGGCTTAATTGCCTTTAAATCCTTTAAGAGGATAAAAATAAACTGGCAAGAAGTAAATGCCTGAACTGGCTTACTGAGTATAATACTCCAAACCATGATTGCGTTGGTAAGCACGTATGCTAGACCTGAAATTCTCCATAGCCTGCGGTACACCCCCAGAGCTAGTTACGAAGCCTTGCCACAATTCTTTGAATCTAGGGAGCTCTTCGCAGTTGCGGTCAACTGTTGTTCTGTTGACCTCCTGGCCCCACGCCCATAGCTCCCTTAGATTGCTTGCAACAGCTTTGGGTGTATACTTAGGGCTACAGATAATTTCAAGGCGTCGAAGTATATTTCTATGAATCAGGGGCCCCACCGGAAGCCAAGCCAAAAAATTAGCCCTAAAATTGAGATCGTATTGAAGGAACACTTCAATATCGGCTTTCCCAAATCCTTCAACCTTTCTCAAATACTCTTGTAGGTACAGTTCTGCATCACTGCGATCCTGCCACACTACTTCTGCCTGAGCACCATCCAGGGTTACATTTGGAATTGGTACATGCCGCCACTCAATTTTATTCTCAAACTCAACCCCCCACGACTTAAGCTTCCGCTGGAGAGTTTTCATATCCCTGCGTGAAGCTTCAAAAGCAGCCTTGTATTCCTCTGAAATCCGACAGAGCATGCGTACAGAAGCTCTTGTGACCGCAAGATATTTCCCACTCGGTAAAAGATGCATCGCTAAGACTGTCCCCACTTCATTTGAAAAAAAATCCATCTGTGAATCTAAGCTTTGCACCCTCGAGCGAGCTCTAAATCGCGGGACTTCTGACACATCTTCTGCCGAGATATCAGACGACGACACCGGAGAATGTTGAGCCAGAACTGGCACCACAACTGCTGGAGTACCAAGCTCTGACATCGACAGCTCATCCAACACAGATAAATTGTTCTCTACGGAAGGATGAACCTGAGGAGGATCCTCGCCTTCCTCCTCAGACTCAGATCCCGATAGAGCTGAATCTATAGCTGCCAGAGGAGCTGTAGGTGTCAGAGATTGAGACTCCAGCCCTTGGGGTGACAGTCCCAGTGCAACAGTCTCTGGCTGACTACCCTTGAAACAACGCGATGCTTCGATTCGATCAGCTTTTGCTTTCATAGCTCGCTCCCTTTCCATACGGTCCTTCTTTCTCTTTTCCAAAACCCCAACCCTGTTTTTCTCCCTTTCCCCCTTACTAAGAGCCGCAGGAAACTTTGGAGGGTCATAAGGCAATGACTTACCACCCCCCGCCACAACCGAAGACGGGCGTGTGGTCTTTCGCGAGTCGATATCTTCCAGAAAGGGAGCGAAATTCATGGCGGTGGGCCCAACGACATCGCCTTTACGCTTTTCATCATGCATTACATTCTTTAAAGCTATACGACAATTTAAATTTAGAGGGGGTGCCCCTACTTCCCCATAGGGACTGACCAGCGTGCGCTGCTGCACAAAGGCTGGCGTCGGCGGTACAAAACCTCCCTTATTAACAGGAGTTTCTCTTGCAGGAGGCGGTGGGGTTGTCAAGTCAGGAGTATGGAGGAGGGTTGGAACCCAACGACTGGCTGTGGCCTTAGTCTGAAGAAATAGCGTTTATTGACATGAAAATAATTCACATAAAGATTAACATTAACATACCTTTCCTCTCCCTGACACGGAACAAGAGGATGGCTTCAAGAGGAGACGAGTCTTGAGACCAGGAACATTCTGAAGAAATAGTGTTTATTCACATGAAAATAATTCACATAAAGAGTATCATTGACCAACCTTTTCTGTCATGCCTCTGGGAGATGTGTGAGTAGGAGAATTACAGGTCTCCAAAGCATCCTGAAGAAGTAGTGTTTATTCACATGAAAATAATTCACATAAAGAGTATCAGTGACAAACCTTTTCTGTCATGCCTATAGGAGCTGGGTGACCAGAAGAGCTAAAGGACGAACTACCAGGCTTCAAAGCAGTGGGAAGCATAACCTGAAGAAATAGTGTTTATTTTCATTCGTTATCGGAATGAATCACTCTACCAATTTATAACCATGCACCACCACCCACCAAATTATCATTGACAAACCTGTTCTTCCTCCAGCTGCTTCGCCAGCTTCCTCTCTTTCCTCTCTCTCCTCTCTCTCCTATTCTGCTCAATAATCTCCTTCCAAATCCTATCCTTTTTCTCCTTCTCAGCCTTCTCCTTCTCCTTCTTCAAAGAACTACTGGAGACAGTGGGAGGCTTATCCTGAAGAAATAGTGTTTATTCTCATTTGTTATCGGATTGAACTTATAACCATGCACCACCACGAAATAAAGCAATCTGTCAATCTTTCTGGTACATACCTTTAGTTTCCTTTGAACAAAAGGAGAGAGTAGCGGTGAAGGAAGGGTCGGCATGTTACGGACAGGACTCGGATCCGACACGAGAGGACTCTGAAGAAATCAGTTTATAGAATAATATTATACATGCAAAGTCACATTAAGATATACCTCTGTATACTCTAGGCGTTTCTTAAGTAGAAATGCACTACTGGCTGACTTCGGGCGCATTTTCTTGGATCTGCCCATTCTTTCTGCAAAAATTTAAATGGTAGCAGTGTGCAAATTCACCGCATCTGTCAAAAATAAATTAAACCAAAACTCTCCATCACAGTGTTTCTTAATTCAATGCACCCATATTTTTTATCACAAGTCAGGAATCCAATTCCAATTCCAATTCCAATCCAACAACCTTTCGGCTCACACTCTATCGGGGAAACCAATTCCTCGCACGGACAATCGAAACCCACTCAGGCTCAATACAGGTCGAGAGTATACGTCCCAGCCTTACGGAAGGGACCCTCTCTCACTGTTCAAGTATCTTAATGAGTCTCACTGACACCCTGTCCCACATCGGGCCTAAGCCCAGACTTTCCATCACTGTTCTTAATCTATCTCCCTATAAAGAAATCTATCAAAGAATCCAATTCCTTGCACGAACATTTGTAACCCACTCAGGCTCAATACAGGTTGAGAGTATACGTCCCAGCCTTATAGGCTTAGTACTATAAGAAATTTTGGTCCTTTTTGGGAAAATGATTTAAAACACACTACACAACACTTTAGGATCTTGATTTTTTTATTGTGGCATTACAAAGTGGTGATAATGTTAGTTAAGGAGTTTCCAATCATCAGGTTTGACTTTGGGTGTGGAAAAAAATAATAATAAAATCATGAATTTTACATATAAGGCTTAGTACTATAAGAAATTTTGGTCCTTTTTGGGAAAATGATTTAAAACACACTCCACAACACTTTACAATCTTGATTTTTTTACTGTGGCATTAGAAAGTGGTAATAATGATAATTAAGGAGTTTCCAATCATCAGCTTTGATTTTGGGTGCGGAAAAAAATAATAGTAAAATCATGAATTTTACATATAAGGCTTAGTACTATATAAAATTTTGGTCCTTTTTGGGAAAATGATTTAAAACACACACCACAACACTTTACAATCTTGATTTTTTATTGTGGCATTACAAAGTGGTGATAGTGATAATTGTGGTGTTTCCAATCATCTGCTTTGACGTTGGGTGTGGAAAAAAAAATAATAATAAAATCATGAATTTTACATATAAGGCTTTGTACTATAAAAAATTTTGGTCCTTTTTGGGAAAATGATTTAAAACACACACCACAACACTTTAGGATCTTGATTTTTTTATTGTGACATTACATTGTGGTGATAATGATAATTGTGGAGTTTTCAATTGAAAGGTTAGACTTGGGTGTAAATAAAAATAACAAATCATTGGTTCTACTACTCTAAAAAAAATTTGGTCCTTTTTGGGAAAATGGTTTTAAAGACACTTCCCATCACTTTTATTATCTGATTTTTAGTTTTTGATCAGTATGTTTGGTAGTTATAATAATTGTGGAGTATTAATGCAATATCACAATAAATAAGGTGGTGGTCAATAAATGTTCCAAATTACCGGTTTAGATGAACCCTGTAGAAATGGAATATAAAATAATGAACTAAACATTTTTTGTCTGATTTCAAATTTTCTTTTTGAATTTGTTAGGTAATAAATAAATTGACCTCCTCCAAAAGAAATTATTGCAAAATCTTAAAAAATGAGTGTGTAATTAGCAAATGTTCCAAATTACCGGTTTAGACCGAACCCTTCAAAATAGAAGATACACTAATGAATTCAATTTTTTTTGTTCAATTTCAAATTTTCTTTTTGCATTAGTTAGGTATTGAATAGGTTGACCTCTTCCAAAAGAAATTTTTGCAAAATTTTAAAAAATGAGGGTGTAATTAGCAAATGTTCCAAATTACCGGTTTAGACCGAAATACTGTAATAATAGAATATACTTTAATGAATTGAATACTTTTTGTACGTTTTCCAAAATTTTTTTTTGCATTAGCTAGGTATCAAATAGGTTGACCTCCTCGAAATGAAATTAGTGCAAAATCTTAAAAAATGAGTGTGTAATTCGCAAATGTTCCAAACTACCGGTTTAGACCGAACCCTTCAAAATAGAAGATACACTTATGAATCCAATTTTTTTGGTCCGATTTAAAATTTTCTTTTTGCATTAGTTAGGTATTGAATAGGTTGACCTCTTCCAAAAGAAATTTTTGAAAAATCTTAAAAAATGAGGGTGTAATTAGCAAATGTTCCAAATTACCGGTTTAGACCGAAATACTGTAATAATAGAATATACACTAATGAATTGAATATTTTTTGTCCAATTTCAAATTTTTTTTTTTCATTAGCTAGATATTGAATAGGTTGACCTCCTCGAAAAGAAATTAGTGCAAAATCTTAAAAAATGAGTGTGTAATTAGCAAATGTTCCAAATTACCGGTTTAGACCGGAATTGATATACCTAGAGCTGAAAATTCTTAAATTTATCTTTTTCAGATAACCCTTTCTTACTTACTTACTTACGAATTTTACTTTAGATTCCATCATGCAGCCTAGTACTGTTGTGAAGGAGTCTAGTGGAAGGAGTGGAGAGAAGGTGGTGTCCAGTGGAAGGAGTGGATGCAGTGTGGAAGGTGGAGATGGTTGGACGGATGTCAAGAGGAAGAGTGTGAGAAGGAGTCTCTTTGAGAGTGAGTCTGCCCTGAGGGAGGAGGAGTTTCCTTCTCTTGGATTGGAGAAGAAGACTGAGAAGATGGGGTGGAAGGAGTTGAAGAAGAGGAGAGAGGAGGAGAAGAAGGAGAAGAAGCTGAGAGAGGAGAAGAAGAGAGAGAGGAAGTTGGAGAAGCAGATGGAAGAGATGGAGATGCGGGAGGATAAGGAGAGGAAGGAAGTGGAGAGGAAGAGAGAGGAGAGGAAGGTGTGGAAGACGAGTGTGCCAGCAGAGGTAGATGGATGGACTGCTGTAAAGGGCAGGAGTAAGAGAAGGAGTGAGGAGAGTTCTGGTCTCAGTGAGGAGGAGTACCCTTCCTTTGAGAAGGAGAAGACAGAGAAGGAGAAGAAGGTGTTAAAGAAGCTCTTTGAGGAGAGGAGGAGAGAGAAGTGGGCTAGGGAGGAGAAGAAGAGAGAGAAGAAGATGGAGAAGCAGCTGGAGGAAGAGAAGAAAGAGTTGGAGAGGCAGAGAGTGCAGAAGAACCAGGAGAAGGTTCAGTTGAGGAGAGAGAAGGAGGACAGTGGAAGTGAGAGAAGGATTACTGCTGGCTTTAAGAGAGGGAGGAAGCAGAGCAGTGAGGAGAGAGAGGTGGAGCAGATTATGTCAGATAATCTGCTGGAGCCTGAGAAGGAGAAGAGACCCCAGAGGAAGAGCAAGAAAGTGGATACTTGTACTGATGTAAGTACCTATTTATTTACTATATTTCTAAGTCACAATACTGGTCTAAGTCACATATATAAGTCATAATATTTTTCTTTAATTTTGCTTTAATTTATGTCATCTAATTGTGATTTATCTTTCAGCTCTTCCTCTGACAGTGGCAGTGAGAGAAGTAGTTCTGCTGGCTTTAGGAAGCAGAGGAGGAAGCAGAGCAGTGAGGAGAGAAAAGTGTCAGATATCTTTCTTTCATCCAGCTCTTGCTCTGATGATGAGAAGAAGACACCTCAGAAGATGATTATGTCAGATAATCTGCTGGAACCTGAGAAGGAGAAGAGATCCCAGAGGAAGACTAAGAAAGTGGATACTTTCAGAAATGTAAGTACCTATTTATTTACTATTCTGATAAATCAACTCCTTAGATTTTTTTATTTATGTTTATGATAATTTATGTCATCTAATTGTGATTTATCTTTCAGTTATCCAGCTCTTCCTCTGATGGTGATACCAGTTCCTCTGAAGATGAGTACATGGAGTCTTCAATCAACTCCAGATGCAAGATGAAGACAGCCGGGAGGAGTAAGGAGAGTTCTGATGAGGATAGCTTGAGGGGACTGATTGGTGGGAGACCTGATGATTTAGAGAACCTGGGATACTCTAGTGATGATGAGAAAGCTGAGTCTTCCAGTTCTAGTCTTGAGGATGATGAGCCTGTTCCGGAAGAGAATCTGAAGAAGGCAAGAATGACTGAGATGGAGTTGGAGAAGCAGCTGAGAATGGCCAGAGAAGCAAGGATTGAGCTGGAGAAGAAGAACAGACTCCAGAAGAAGGTGGGAAAGAAGAGTAGGCCTGCTGCTGAACGTAGAGTGTGAGACAGATGTCTTCTGAGAATGCTGCAACTGCCACCCTCTGCCCTGTGCCTATGTGTACCAAAGGATTTGAGAACATGATTAAGGTGCACAAGCTCTCCAAGGCTGACATGGCTGGCTTCAAGATTGTCCTGGTGTCAACAAAGTGCCCCCATTGTGACACACCTCAAACCAACCTCTCCTGCCATCTCAAGGAGAGCAGGTTTAAGAGTAAGAGAGCTGAGGACAGTCTGAGAGTGGAGCCAGTTAGAGAAAGGGATGACCAGGAACCCTTTGGACCCCAGATGGAAGCCCTAGTCAAGAAAAAGGGTTCTAGAGTGCTGCTTAAGAAGATGAAAGCCTACATGGACAAGCAGTCTAGCTATGCTCGGAACACCAGGAGAGTGTACTTTGGCAGGATAAGGCATATGCTGAGCTGGATGGAGGCCAACAAGCTGAACTTTGTTGGTAACAGACTGCTGTTCCCCTTGGAGTGCAAGGTCTTTCTTCCCAGTGTGTCAAGGTATTTGGACACAGTTGTTTCTATGAGCAAGCCAACTGCCATCAAAGGGTACCTCTGCCTGTTCTCTTTTATCCAGGACAGATGTGATTTCCTGTACAGTTCTGATCCTTCTGTGAATAGAGATGCCAACTATGCAGTCCGCAGGGAGGACTACACCAGGAACTTTGGCAGAAAGGTGATGGACCATATGCTCCATGGAATGGTCACATCCACAGCTCCAGCACCAGGCTCCCCACCAGCACCTCCAGCACCTGGTTCCCCACCAACCCCTCCAGCACCTGGTTCCCCACCAACCCCTCCAGCACCAGGCTCCCCACCAACACCTCCAGCACCTGGCTCCCATCCAACTGCTCCACCACCACCCCATGCACCTCTACCAGCACCACCAGCACCACTAGCTCCGCCAGCACCTCTACCAAGACCACCTCCAGTTCAGCAGGTGCAGAAACAGGCTATCAGAAAGGGAGCAGCCTTGTCCAGCTATGAACGAGAGATTGTGAGGAGTGCTGTGTCTCCTCACAACGTTTCCACCCTTGAGGACTTTCTGGATTTGACGAGGACCAACCGTGCTTTCCGCCTGGTCTGGGAGAGACTGAAGAGAGAAGAGGAACTACTGATGGGAACGTGGCCAAGACGATCAGGAAGAGTATGCAGAGCCTGAAGAAGAGTCGAGAGAAGAGGTAAGTCTTTTTCTAATTTATTTAATTAAATGATTAAACTTTTTTGATAACTTTTGGCATTTTTAAACACTTTTGGCATTTTTTGGAATTTTGGCATATCCAAGCAAAAAGAAAACAACCCAAATTTTGGAGAGCTATATTCTGCAACCTCCCCGATGGTGCTCTCTGGTAACAAGTCTGTTAGACTTGGCTGATAGCAGAATGATAAAATTTTAAAATTTTAAATAGTAATAAGCAATATATGTAAAATTCATGATTTTATTATTATTTTTTTCCACACCCAAAGTCAAAGCAGATGATTGGAAACTCCTTAATTAACATTATCACCACTTTCTAATGCCACAATAAAAGAAATAAAGATCCTAAAGTATTGTGGTGTGTGTCTTAAATCATTTTCCCAGAAAGGACCAAAATTTCAAATAGTACTAAGCCTTATATGTAAAATTCATGATTTTATGTAATGCCACAATAAAAATATAAAGATTGTAAAGTGTTGTGAAGTGTGTCTTAAATCATTTTCCCAAAAAGGACCAAAATTTTAAATAGTACTAAGCCTTATATGTAAAATTCATGATTTTATCATTATTTTTTTCCACACCCAAAGTCAAAGCAGATGATTGGAAACTCCTTAATTAACATTATCACCACTTTGTAATGCCACAATAAAAAAAATCTAGATCCTAAAGTGTTGTGGTGTGTGTTTTAAATCATTTTCCCCGAAAGGACCTAAATTTTAAATAGTACTAAGCCTTATATGTAAAATTCATGATTTTTCATTATTTTTTTCCACACCCAAAGTCAAACCTGATGAGTGGAAACACCTTAATTATTATTATCAACACTTTGTAATGCCACAATAAAAATATTAAGATTGTAAAGTGTTGTGAAGTGTGTCTTAAATCATTTTCCCAAAAAGGACCAAAATTTCATATAGTACTAAGCCTTATATGTAAAATTCATTGTTTTTTACTATTTTTTTTCCACACACAAAGTCAAAGCAGATGATTGGAAACTCCTTAATTAACATTATCACCACTTTGTAATGCCACAATAGAAATATAAAGATTGTAAAGTGTTGTGAAGTGTGTCTTAAATCATTTTCCCAAAAAGGACCAAAATTTTAAATAGTACCAAGCCTTATATGTAAAATTTATGGTTTTATGATTATTTTTTTCCACACCCAAAGTCAAACCTGATGAGTGGAAACACCTTAATTATTATTATCAACACTTTGTAATGCCACAATAAAAATATAAAGATTGTAAAGTGTTGTGAAGTGTGTCTTAAATCATTTTCCCAAAAAGGACCAAAATTTCATATAGTACTAAGCCTTATATGTAAAGTTTATTGTTTTTACTGTTTTTTTTCCACACCCAAAGTCAAACCTGATGAGTGGAAACACCTTAATTATTATTATCAACACTTTGTAATGCCACAATAAAAATGTAAAGATCCTAAAGTGTTGTGAAGTGTGTCTTAAATCATTTTCCCAAAAAGGACCAAAATTTTAAATAGTACTAAGCCTTATATGTAAAATTAATAATTTTATCATTATGTTTTTCAACACCAAGCTGATGATTGAAAACTCCTTAATTAACATTATCACCACTTTGTAATGTCACAATAAAAAAATCTAGATCCTTAAGCATTGTGGTGTGTGTTTTAAATCATTTTCCCAAAAAGGACCAAAATTTTAAATAGTACTAAGCCTTATATGTAAAATTCATGATTTTATCATCTTTATTTTTGTGCGATTTCAAAACTTTTTTTTGCATTAGTTAGGTATTTAATAGTTTAATCTCCTCCAAAA